CGTGAATCGTTGCACAAGGCACAATGTCGTCTTAATGAAATGCCAACGCTACATGCCCTACAGGTTTTAGCTGAGAATGTAAATAAAGCAACGGGCAGATATAAAGCATGGTTTAAACGATAATGAATGAATCGAACGCAAGACCGCATGATCAGTAACATGGCAGTTACCATCATTGACATTGATTTCCCGCTCGTAATCCATTCGCGATCTTTTAGTCTAATTGACTTGTTTTCAACAGAATCAGCCACAGGGATAGCCCAACCAATGGATACCTCAGTACACAGAAATGACCTTTAGTATCCAATGGTTTTCACTAACAAATTAAAATTGTCAAGGATACGATGTTTGCATTCCACTTTCTAGGGTAACCTTTGAACCATATATGAAGTCAATCAAATGGAATATATAGATGACCTGTGACCTAATGGCTAAAACACTTATCTCTCCAGAAAGTAGATATCTTTTAGAGAGCAGCTTAGTTCAGTCAGCTAATCTGGTGTTGGCCACTGTGTGTGCGCTGAAACGTGAAGATCTCAAGGCCTAGTTCAGACTCGGGGGATAAACCCGGCTGAACTCAGTGGGTTTATCCACCTGCCAGTCTGTACTATGTGGCTTATCTCAAGCCGGGCTGTGTTCCTATAGTAACTAGGCCTGGCGCGCCACCGTGCTTTCTAAGCCGGGGGTGGGGGTCAATTGCATTGACTTCGGGTGACGAAATGACCAATCAGCATTCAATTACGTACACTGTGAGCGAGCGTACATTTCGTGATTAATGTTTTGAAACACGTTTCCTGGTTACGGTTCATTATTATCCAAATTCTCGGGCCTGGCTAATCCCGCTAGTCTGAACGCCTGCAAAGTTAAGGCAGGCTTAGTGTTGAGCTGGGCTTAACTCAAACCTGGGTTATCTCCAAGTCTGAACGTAGCCTAGGTTCCTGCCTCTCCTTGCGGTTCAGCTGGAGGGCTGAAATACAAGTTACAATAGTGCACTGTCTTTCGGATGAGACGTTTAAGCCGTTGGTCCTGCCTGCATTTATGGCTCATGTGCACTTTAAAGAATGCAGTACATTCTTCGGTAAAGAGTAGGGGATTGTCTCCCGGTGTACTGCCCAATCACCACCAGAAGGACCCCACTGGAAGTAAGTCTTCTTCTAGACTTTCGTGGGCTATCCTTGGTGTTTAACCCGAATAAATCCAATCCAATCCAATATAGGAGTCTTGAGTCAAGTTGATAAGAGTTTTTCCTACAACCAATAACAATTCCCTTCTTCATCTCTACAGCATTAATACATTACTTTTAGCACAGTATATATAGGATCTGTGGTTTTAGTAAAGTGTTTTCATTGATTAGTAATATTTCCATACTACATTGCTTATGAATGCAAATAGAAGTTAATTCAAGACTGACGATTCAAGAACTTTTAGGGATCTATATAAAATAAATAGAAAATTGTTATACTGTGTAGAAAAATGACATTGACAAACAACAACCGACAAATATACAATATATAAAATAGTAAAATGGAAAGATTAAAATAATGGGAGCCTTTTTTAACATAATAAAATTCTAATTTGGATTAGCCTAACCTGAATATGACTATTAGTTTGCTTTAAAGAATATGAACGTTAATCATTTTATCTTTCTTCAATGAAATGATTTTTATTTCTTTTGGGACACTGATTTTAAAATGGCGATTATGGATAATGAATTTGACTTTTTTTCTATGTTTCTATGTAATGTCCATTTATTTATTATTCACAATACTCTAGCTCATTATCTTCCTAATTGTTCTTGTATATTTAATAGGTTAATAAAGGCCTGATTAGGTAAATGGTAACAAGCAATCACCTAATGGCTGGTTGTATTACTATTATGTCTATGATTCAAAGATTAAGGTTGATGAAAAAGAAAGGACAATAAGAGAACGAAAATGCGATCGGAGTTTACTAGGTCACTAAGAACGGAGTGCAGTCGAGACCGATTTATAATCATACATCAACCCAAATATCAATATTGGGATAGCTTAGGAAACTAAAAATAGCTTAGGAAAAAAAAAACATGAATGTTTATATAATTTATTCATTCAATCTTTATTCAGCTAAACAAATGTACAATAAATTTTAAACAATACAGTAAAAACAACAGAAATAACAAACAAATCGTAACCTAAGATGACTGGGATGGATGATAGTGACTGATACTTTGCTGGAAACCCAATGACCCAGTCTTAGAAAATTACAGATAATATAAATAATGGAATATATCACTTTATTTATAATTAAAATAAAAAAGAACTATTAGCTATATATATAGCATTAAATTAATGTCTATACAGTTTTCATGTACTAGTTAAAAGGAGCTTAAATAAATTAAAATGAAAAAGCAAATGTGACCCAAGCTCACAAACAGGCTGTAAACTCGTCCTCAGGCCAAAATGAATTTTTGTTATAATGGTATAGGACATATCATTTACTTTAAAATGACAATTAAATGAACTCAATCGGGTGTCCAGAAGCAAAGTTATGACCGTTTGAATAATTGTCATCTTATCAACTTTCTTAAATGAAGTTTTGAAAAAAATGCTTTTATTTTCGGTAGGTGTCTATTCATTTTTCATTAGCTCCCATTCGAAAATGGCTAAATTTTACCTCTTACAATTGGAATTTTAAACTCAAACTTCAGGAATAGTAAGATTAATAGTTATACTTTATTTATTACACAAAAACCCAATTCACACAAAATTCACATTCTACGCCCTATTCTGGGTATTGAGGCTTGTTTCTCAATACAGTGCAGTGCGAGTTTACAGCCCGTTTGTGAGATTGGGCCACAAATTAAAATAATTATACATTTACTATGGATGGATAAGAGATGGCAAGAGAATGAAGTTTATTAGGACTTGTTTATCATACATCAACCGAAGTAGTTTGTATTGAATTAGTTATCAATCAGAATGTTTAAATATATTTATCTTTTTTAATACACTTTCAATAACAAATCCACTGTCACAGTCTCTCAATCTAACTTTTTACTAAAATGCTCTACAACTGATTTTTATGTGACACAAAAACATATTTGACAAAAAAACTGGGGGAAAAAGGTTCCCCCCCCCCCTTTTTACACCTTTTTCACACAGTTTTTAAATTTTCAAAAATCTGTATCTAATTATCCTTTTCTGAGTTTTTTTTTGTCAAATATGTTTTTTGTCTTAGAAAAATCAGTATATAACATATCAAAAAATTTCCTTCGAAGCCTGGCTTTAAGATCGTAAAGAAGAAAGGGGTTAGGGTTAAGGCTAAAAAGGGGGGTTTACTAAAACTGGCCTATAAGTAATGGGTAGGCTATACCAGAGACACCCCGTTTCTGACGATCAAGGGTTCATCATGACAGGACATCATTTCTGGAGTGGTTTAACAACAGCGACACTAATAATATCTATAGTAAATTACTAACATACTGAACAGAAGAAATTGTCCTGTTTTGCCTTTTTACTAGCTGCTTATTATAGCTTAACTTTGTTAAATCAATGCCAGGTCAAAAAGAACACAAATTCCTACAATAACTAATAAACATTAAGACTGAAATATTACTAAACCAAAACAAAGTATTTACATACATTTTACATATAGTTATCAATGCAATCATAAATTGCACCACCTCCTATTAATTATGAATAATTAAGTAAAAATGCAATTCTCTGATTGGTCCTGAGTGGCACTAGAGTAATTAATAAGTGACTATCAGAATGTTGTGAGCAGCGCAAATAAACAGACGATGCGACAAAGCCCGAGGCCATAACAATTACGCAGCGTCAACGGTGAGTAATCGCTCGTTTGTGTCAAATCAATCAATCAATCTGCTCCTGTGGCGAACACGATCGTGAATGTTTCTGTTCACACTTTGAAAGGCAGTGGAAAATGTTATACTGCTGCCAGACCCATCATCAATCATTGGTGGATTCAGGAATTCAAAATAGAGGGGGCACAGGGACGGATTTTCACAGATAGAGAGAATAAACCGCCTCACCATGGTTGGGGCTGAGGTAAGAAAATTTATGACTATGGCACATCTAGAATGGCCAGAAATGGCACTCTCTGACCTAAATTTGATAATAATTCTCCATTTTTTCACCATTTTAACAATTTTTAAAAATTTACGAAGGGCCCGGGCGGCTCACCCCTCCCCACCCCCGCAGTGAATCCGCCATTGAATCATCAATTCTTATAGTCAACACATACGCTTCAAAAAAAACATGACAGTAAGTACTGAAGGTCCCTCCCCACCCAAAAAATAAAAAGTGAAAAAAGGGAAGATGAAACTAATTTTTTAATTTAAATTCCATGTCCCAGTAGCGTCTATGACGAAGTATTACTTAACAAAATCTCAAGCACCATACCCGACATCCCCTTGGATTGGAGCCTCGCACAATGCATGGCATCTACCCAAATTTTTTTCTGGATCCACCCTTGTTGTACTCCCAAAGAAAGTGTTAAAGCTTGCCATCTTCTGGATGGTTGATGCTGGCTTTTCCCACAGGTGTGTGAAAACATGCTCATCATAATAAAGAGAAAATGGATGAGGCATATGAAGTACAATTGAAGTAGAAAAGAAATTGGAAGTGAGGAAGAAACAACATAGATGAAAAAACTCATAAGAAGTTAAAAAAAAAATTAATAAATTGAATATATAACAGTATTGTAGTTCCTCTGTTATAAGTTCACCCGACTTGAACTCAAAATTGGGCCAATTTTTGGAGGTGGGCTTATATCCGGGTAATATCATTTTTAATCAAATAATAATTTTTCAGCACTGTACATATAATTCAAATCTAATATTTGATTTTTTTTTTCTGAAAATATTTGTAAGGGATGCACCCTTCGCTTTTGCCCAAGGACAGGCTGGTACATAAAAATAGGCAATGTAAATCAGGGGATAGGCTTTTACTCAAGGTGGACTTATACTGGAGAAACTACGTGACAAAAATACAAAAATTTACCTGAGTGAAAATACTTATTACAGCTAATCCATTTGTCGCGTCCTTCGCTGTGTCGTAATCGTTATACAATTGTTTATTGTAAAACATAAGCTGGACCTATATTAAAGGAATGTAAACATTGATTAGAAAAATAATTGTTAATAAATGATGATAATTCATTTTTAACTATGATTAATAATTGATTATTTATAATTTTTATTCATAAAGTACTTAGTTCTAATACTCATCAGTGGTGTCAGTACAAACCACTACACACCTATACATATACCACTACTTTTACAAATGGAATTCAATTTTTTTTTTTTTTTTTGGTGAACGAAATACTATATTCCTGATTAATAATAATAATTTAATCAATTATGTGAATTAGTCATTTTGTAAGATTTTCGTATAATTTGTGAGTATAAGGCACATACCAACACATACCCCCACATATACCGCTAATGGAATTCAGATTTTTTTTTCTGATGAACGGAAGAAATACTATATTCCTGAATAATAATTTAATTAATATTGTGAATAAGTCATTTTTAGGTTTTTCTCTTGGGCAATAATGACAAAGGAGGCATGTTGTGGCAAAAAATTGAAATTAAAGTTATTGGTATATCAGATACTTTAGTAATCTTTGAAATAAGGGTTCAATCATTGAAATAGTATATATTTCCAGCCTTAGTTATTGTATTAAAGTATAAACAATAAAATAATGATATTTTTTTTTTGTATAGATAATATATTAATAAGTAAAATGTATGATGCATAATAAATATAATAAAAAAAATGTTTTATTTTTGTATTGTTTCTGATTGTTGCATGTCATTTGGCAACATTGCATCTCAGGACCATTCAGGAGTGTATTAAGCTTAAATACAACTGACCAATCAAAAGAGTGCAAAGAATAATGCATACATCCTGCAAACCCGCGTGTTGTCCCACAAACATGAGTTCGCGTATGTTTTAACACTGTCACTTTGTGGGCCCTAGTAACAATATCCAAGGGGCGTGGCTTAGTGGTCATAGTGGATAATGACATAACTTTATTGCAGTGGTTTCTGTTCTAATTCTCAACCTTGAGGTTGGAGGTTCAATCCCTCGCTGTGTATTTCGCTTGTGTCCTCAGGCAAAGCACTTTACCTACCGTTGTCCCTCCACCCAGGAGTACAAGTTGGTACCTGGTAGGTTCAAACGCAGCCATGCGCAGATTACAGCTGCAACATTATGGAATTCTCCCCAAGGACCTCAGTGCGTGTTCCAAATGTGCTTGATCCAATGGCCGGGGGTAATAGGGTTACATAGAGATCATCTCTACATGAACTCTATTACCATTATTATTATCAAAGATTAGGTCAATTTTAACATTTATTTGATCATACCAGTCTTTAAAATTCATGATTGGTATGCACTAATCCCTTTTAAGGGCTAATATATTACACATGTATTATTTAGTTGTCTTCACACAAGACTTGCATAATAAGCCTCAGACAGGAATGACATTTATCATGTTGAATTAACACCAATGGAAGCCAGTCTAAACCCACACTTATTAAAGTCACTAAAGCAATAATAAGGAAAGGAGACGCAGCTAGGCATTGTTCCAAAATTCTTACCCCAGAACAACTGGGGTGATACAGGCCTACTTTACTTAAAACCACAAACAAAATAGTGTACTGTACGTATTGAATAAAGGTTTATTACAGAGTATGCAGTGTTACGTTATGATACCACGTGATACTACTCCGTTGCTATCGTTGCAAATTCAAAACCATTGATCCCAATTTCTAACGTAATTATTAAGATGTTGTATCTTACTTTTTCTTTGTAAATGTTAATTGATGATTAAATGTGTGTTCGATAACTAATATAATGCGAGCTTTTGTGTTTTTAGTAAATTTTGATGGTAAAATATTAGATTTTAAAATGCCTATTCCAGAAAGCCTACGAAGTCGTTCAGGCGTAATGAACGGTGACCAACGTCTGTTGACAACAGAGAGCTCCACCTGGCGTCGTGACGACACGACTATGGTACTCCATAGCGAGACTTTTCTTTATAATCTTGAAACAAGCATAATTGATATATCTTCAGGGGAGAGCAGAAAAATACAAGAAATAAAATAAAGTAACTTTCAGTAAAAATAATTACTACTGGGTTTGCAAAACAAGGTATAAGAAAAGGCTGGACTTTTATTTCTATTTTTTTTTTCCGCCCTCTTCTGACGATCGCGTAACAAGGTATAAAGAAAGTCTTGCCTAAGAGTTAGTATAGGAAAGGTTTTTTTTTATTTTGCATATGCACCTCAGCCTTCTGCCTGAAGGTAACTTATGGAGTTAAGTGGGAATTACCATTCAATTACAGACCTTGTTACATCAAAGATTTATCTTGGCATTTAATAGAAGAGTTATTTTATTACTAGTCATTAAAAACAAAATCCCTGTTGATTGATTTTATAAAGATTACTGGGTGAAATTTTTTTTCACAACTTTTACTAAATTAAATTCCGTTTGCGTGATCTTTAGGTTAATTGGTAAAATTAACTGATTTTTTTTTCTCACTGAAATTCAATTTTCAGTTTATTCTCATTTCATACTCTTCAAAGAATTTGACAACGCAATAATTGAAAAATATTTTCACAACTTAGCAAGAAACTAATTTGGATGAAATTATTATTTTAGATCCGCAATAACGATGTGTCTGAGTATTTCTACTCATCCACGTTATGGTCCATTTTGAACATCCATTTTTCAATTTATCTGTCATCATGCATCTCGTTTCTGTTATTCAGTGGAGAAATATTGAATTTACCACTTGTATGATTAAAGTTACAATTGCAGTGTAGTATCTATAATGGGGGGGGGGCGGGTAGAAGGCAGCCATACATCTTTCCAAATATGCCTGGGAATCAATTATGATGAGTATGCAGATGTTGATGATTACTATTATCATGACGATAATTATAATGATGATCATGATGGTGATGATGATGATTGTGATGATGGTGAAGGTGATGGTGATGGAGGAGATGATGATGATGATGATGAGGATGATGAAAAAGATAATGATAGTGATGATGTTCAGGACAATGATGGTGAGGTTAATGATTAAATGATAATGATGATGGTGATGATGATGAAGATGACAATGATGAAGATAATGATAATGATAACGATGATACCGATGATGAAAATAAAGATGATGATGAGATTATAATGTTCAGACAATGATGGTGAAATTAATGATACAGTGATGATAACAATGGTAGTGATACTGATAATCTGATACTGATAATGATGATGATGATAATGATGATGATAATAATGATGCTATGATAACGATGATGGTGATACTGAAAATGATGATAGTGAGTAATAATAATGATGACAAGTTAGAAGTACACCAAACCACAGACTGCCAAGTAAAGATAAAAAGCTAATAATAGATTTAAAAAAAAACAAAAAAAGAAACACTTCAAATTAAAAAGAATCATTTATAGCAGGCATTAAAACACTAAGTTTGGAGAGGGTCATAAACATATCAACCAAAAAGAATGCCAATATTATATAATATATATTCTATCATTTATTTTGTTGAACTAACACATTTTGTTTCATAAATAGCTATGACGTCTCCAAATCATGTCCCAACACATCAATGATCATCGCTGCATAAACATCCATCAGGTACGTATGTTGTATTGAATTATTCATTGTAGCTAAATTGGTACCGCAAATTTTCAAAGTATCCAAGAAATTGTTTCCACTCATTAGGAGCAGATAAACCCGGTTCCCGTGGCAACAGAAAGTGATAAATCTACATTTGATTTGCTACAATTGGATATGGCCTTTTGAATGGACGAACAACATGCTCCCTTTCTCCCTAATTCAATCGATTCGCTTTAAAAAAACATACTGTCTCTCTATCGCCCTGGATTCAACACAACCTCTGAAATAACAATTACTGTGGTGATGTAAATTTTGTTTCATTCGATTGTTCAGCTGGAGTTTTTGGGCGAGCCAACTAAATGTCGCTTTCGAAGACAAATTTGATTTATGTCAAATGTGACAAGGTAAAGTGAATGCCTGATAATCGTTGCATTGTGAGGACTAAACGTTGTTGTTTACGCATTGACTGTATGCCGTGCTAAAACAGCACTATTTACCACATACTTATGACTTTTCAATAATTAATGATAATTGAAGTGAGTACCATAGAACATTACATTGTTAATGACTGGAGGAAATTTAGGATACTTGAGCAACAGAATAATATATTTTTGCAAAAATAAAAGCTAAATATTTTACAGAAATAATTGATACTTGCCAAGATTAATTATTAGGGATTGCTAAGGACAGGAAGGGGTATTGAGAAAGGGATGATTTGGGAAAGGAGATATTTGAGAAGGGTGTTTGGCATGAGTTTATGAGGTATGTTGAAATTAAGAGAATATTTTGGGAAAGAATTGTTGGACTAGAAAATTTGAGACCAGGAATTTTTGTATTAAGGGATATGGGAAATAACTTCTAAGAAACATGATGCAGCCGGAGGAAAGGTATGGAAGGGGGGTATTTCCCATCCCCAATTAGAGATTTTTGTTGAAAATAAGCCACTAGATGCTTATACAGGGCATCTTGATCTAAGAGTTATTTGTAAACAAATCCTTTCAACAATACAAGGAACTCGGGGAGTAACTACACAGCCGTATGGAACTACCATGCCATGCACGCTAGGCCGGCTAGACCTGAAACATTAAGCGAGCGACTGTGCGAGAGGCCGAATGTCGGCATGTTATGATTTCTTTTCTCTGCTGTTTGCTGCGACATTCTTCCAATCTGATTGATTAAATCGCTACAATTTGTGGGGCAATATACAGTACGTGGCAAAGACAAGCCCAAACCAGTCATTCGTCGCAAATCGTGTTTCAGAGAAAATGGCAAAACATGCTGGAATGTAAATTTGTTTAAATCGTGCTACGCTGTTATTTTCCCCATTTTCAATGTTAAAACAACACTTTTTAAGGATTTGATGATAGTTTCTGCATCAGAAATGCTCGAAATCATAAACTTTAAAGGCTGATTTCTCATATACTGTTCATTAAGCAGCAGTA